ACTATAAGCCCACAGCTTTCCTTGGCAGAGCCAGTTCTAGAAGTAGACCGAAGAGTTTATTGTCTTACGCTAGCATAATTGCAGGCCTGGAAAACACGGCAATTAGCCTCCCCAGCTGTCTCCCGGGTTTTATAGGATCTTTCCAGACGTTCTGCCCACCACTCATGATTCTGTGTCTGAAGAGGCATATTAAATCCGCAGACTCCTTAACTATCAAGAAAGCCATTACAAAGCCTTGTCCATTAGTCTGGGCACAGGATTTGTTTGGGGGCAGATGCTATTCACAGTTAAAGTGGACCTTTACACTCAAAAATCAATGCATCCCTCTATGTGTGATGATTAATAGTTCATGTCAGGTGTAAAATGCTGTGATTGTGAAATTCTTACACTTGCAGAACATTCACTTCCTGTTTTGAAAGGACAAAATGACTTCAGTTTGGCAAAACAATGCACACTGGGATTTCCTTGTCATCAGCAGAGCATTGGTGGGAAATCTCATCTGTAATCTCACGAGATCTCAGGGAAAGGCATTTTCCTCCCCTGAGATGATGTGCATGGTCACATGTCCTAGTCACATGTCTAGTTACATGTGCCAGAAATCCAGGAAGTAAAAGGAGAGCTAGTAATCTGCCCTTAGTAAACCTGGCCACTGTGAGAAGACTGGGGAAGAAAAGAGAAATAAGGAATGCAAAGAATACAAAGCCGTCATTTATCTAGAAGTATGTGTGTGTAGATTGTCATCACTAAACATTTCTAACGGTGTGTTTGTTATTTTAAAGATATGGGTCAAGGTCCGCTTTAATGGGTAATTCCATTGTCCCAAGTGAATTTGAGAAAATAGAATTGCCCCTTGTAGCCGATTCCTGCTGAATCGGCCATAATTTGAGCTACTGGTGGCCCTTCAAGCACCGCCCAGAATGACAAAAGTCCAAAAATCAGCTGGGCTGGGTGAAAAATGATTAGCCAGTGACTACATCCTAACAAATGCATTCACTGTTCGGGTTTTCAGGCATCCGTGGGTGCCATGGCTGCTGAATACAATAGCTGGCAGAGATTTCTCTTTTCACACAGTTTAGCGTGGATAAAGAATGTAGTTTTCTCTAGTTCAGCCTGGAGAACGGCCCGTGTATAGCTAGCTTTAGTAATACATGTTTTATGTCATGGTTTTGCGCTAATAAAGTCATGCGTTTCTTTTCTTTTATATGTAGGTGACTGTAGAAAATTTTCTTCGAGTATTGACTGGCAGATTGCCGCCAAGCACCCCACGACTGAAACGTCTCCTTTCCGATGACAGAAGCAATGTTCTCATCTACATGACAGGTACATTTGTGTTAAAGAAAACACAACTGCATATTGCCTACTTCGAGGGTTCTCCATAAGAACATATGAGGAATGATCTACAGATGTCCTCTATAGTAATATGGGGAATGCTTTCCAGAGGTAAAAACAGGAACATCAGCTCTCATGCCCTTTCATAGTAGTAATAGATATGGCATCAACAGCAATAACCTACCCCACCAGTGACAGGTATGGCATGCCATGCCCTATCCCAATGCTGACAGAGATGGCATCAACAGCCATGCCCTATCCCGCCTGTGACAAAGCTGGCATCAGCTGCCATGCCCTATCCCAACGTTGACAGAGAAGGTATCAATTGCAATGCCCTATCCCTATGTTGACGGAGATGGCATCAACAGCCATGGCCTCTCCCAATGTTGACAGAGATGGCATCGACAGCCATGCCCTATCCTGCCTGTGACAAAGCTGGCATCAGCTGCCATGCCCTTACTCAACGGTGAATGAAATGGAGGGATCTATCCCTTACAAACTCTGTTCAGTACTTAAAGCCATCCTGGCGATCTACCAAATCTTCTCAGTGAAGGTGTACTAACAGTGTGCCTACATGCCTTTCCTACTGTTTACACTGCTGCATGGTGATCCATTGCTCTGAAATGGTCCTCTCAAGTCCGCAGGGAAGCTGACACTTCAATGTGTGTTGATCCTCATGGGTTCCTTGTAGCTCGCACTGGTTCCTCCTGCTGGCCTCTACCTCACCGCTGTCTCCTGTATTCGGTGGAGGTCATTGGGTGAAACCAGATAGAGCTTCAGGGGAAACCCAGGAGATCAACATATTATAAAAGGCTTAGCTCGGCTTAGTAGGCCCTCCTTTTATATGGGTGGCCAAGGGGTGGTAAAAAAAGGTTGATCCGTATTTTTACTGCTGTACAGCTGTCTGCTGACAAGTTAGCACTACATACGAACAGTGCTGTACACATTGCTGCGGCCTTGAAGCTTTACTGTTTTCTTAAAAGTGATCCACCGCGGATTTCTTTTCAGTGGGGCTGTAAAGTCCGCTTCTCAAGTGAACCAGGCCTTACGGTGAGTGATGGCATGAAATCTTGTATCCTGTTATTTAACGGTCACAAAGTACAAGAAGGGAATAGATTGAACTCTAAATAAAACATAAAAGCCCTTTAAAAGCCGCAGCTGCCTGTGATATTGGATTAACTGGCTCCTGGAGTCTGCAATAATTTCTAAGCCGGTATACTACACCAGCAATTTTCAGCAGGACGCGTTAGTATATACTGAAGCATGCGGTTACCATAGAGATCACAGACTCGGCCCCATTGTAACCAGTCTGCTTCATTTACCTATATGAACCTACTTGTTGTCACCATAGCCCCTCTGCAGTATGCACGGACATGGACGCTAATATGATTCTTCCCCAACTCGCTCAGGTCACGGAGGAAACGGCTTCCTAAAATTCCAAGATTCAGAAGAGATCACCAATGTCGAGCTTGCCGATGCCTTTGAGCAGATGTGGCAGAAGAGGAGGTAAGGAAATGGTTAAACTCTAAATAAAAACAGAAGCTAACCTGCACATTACCCCCTCCGTGTCAGAAAGCAGCATCTGGAGACGAGCTTTATTAAAACGTAATCTTTTTTTTCCCAATAACTTTTATTACAGATTTCATTTCATGCACAAATAATAAAACCCCGAACCAATTATGTGACAGTGACAGTCTCTTCTTCCACATAGGACACATTGTTACTTATTGGCAGTTTTATTCTTGGTACGCGCAGTCCTACGTAGATATATTTATGAAACAGGAAACAGAATTGATATAATGCTACTGATGAAAAAAAAAGATAGAAAAAAAAAACTTGTCTGTAAAGGGAAAGCAAGAGCATATTTCTTAATTTTAGGACAGTGTTGTGTTAACCTATTTAGAGAACATTAAATTAACACACGCGAGGGCAAAACTACTGCCATACTTTAAAAAAATTGAAGCTAAAGATGGGCGACCGAGCATTGCCCTTTTAGACTGTTATGGTAACGCATATCAGCGCATGTTACATATATTGTTGAGCCATTCATTGTGAACGCACCTGCGTTGCAGCGCCGCACAAGTCACGACAATGCTTGATAGCCCATCTTCAGCTTCAATTTTTTAAAGGATTGCAGTAGTTTAGTGATAATTTGCTCGACTAAAACCTTTCCTCATAGTTTTCGTCAGCGGCATGTTTTCAGTGACGAAAACAAAATGAAAACAAAATAAAAGCTTAGATAACAGGACTAAAACTATGACGAAAGTACATTGCAATTTTCTCTACTGGAGATTTAGTCAACACAACTAAACCTCAAACAATTCAGATGACTAAAATACGACTAAAACTAAATGTCAGTTTAGTCATCTGAATTGTTTTAGGTTTAGTTGTGTTGACTAAATCTCCTGTAGAGAAAATTGCAATGTACTTTCGTCATAGTTTTAGTCCTGTTATCTAAGCTTTTATTTCGTTTTCATTTTGTTTCCGTCACTGAAAACATGCCGCTGACGAAAACTATGAGGAAATGTTTTCAGTCGACAAAATTAACACTACAGTAGTTTTGTCCTATGTGTTCATTTATTGTTCTAATACATTACTTACTTTTCCCATACTCCAGCGCTGTTCTCTGGCTCCTCTTCTCACAGTGAAGACGGCACCAGTTCCTTTTTGAATGACACCCAACGCTATCTAACCACTTCCTGCTAGCCCAAGTAGTCACTTACACACACCCTGGCTTCAGCATTATGACGCTGCCAAGGTTCACAGTGTGCTGCTCACTGTATGCCTGCTTATAACTGCACTTATGTGACATGTAGGGTTGCACCGATACCGATTATTTGGGCAAGTACTTGCACTCGCCCAAATGTTTCGATAGCTTCCCCCGATACCGGAACTTCCGGTCAGAGGGAAATTTCCTCTGATCGGCAGTGAGGGAACATGGAGCCCGCTTCCTGACAAATCAGGAAGCTTCTAAATACACTACTTGCTTTTCCCATATTCCGGCGCTGTTCTCTGGGTCCTCTTCCTGCAGAGACTGCACCACTTTCTGGTTGAATGACGCCCAATGCCTTGCAACCACTTCCTGCTAGCTCAAGTAGTCATGTACACACGCCCTGGCTTCAGCATTATGATGCTGCCAAGGTTCACAGTGTGCTGCTCACTGTATGCCTGCTTAGAACTGCACTCATGTCACAAGTAGGGAATGCACTGATACCGAGTATTTGGGTGAGTACTCGCACTCGCCCAAATGCTCCGATACCTGCCCCTGATACCGGAACTTCAGGTCAGAGGGAGATTTCCGCGAGGGAACATAGAGTCGGCTTCCCGGCAAATCGGGAAGCCAAGCGGCGGGTATTGAGCCAATCGGCATCGAGCTGGTCAAACAGCATGAGCCAGCTTCCCAGCCAATCAAGAAGCCGGGTGGTGAGTCATTACCCACCACCTGGCTTCCTGATTGGCCGGTAAAGCCGACTCCATGCTAGCGGAAGTACTGGTATCAGTACTCTGTGTCGGCGAGTACCGAAATATAAATATCAGTACTCGATACCGAAAAAATGATATCGGTGCATCCCTAGTCACAAGGTTTAGATGTGTAAGCACCAATATAGCCAACCCACGCTGGGGGGTAAAGGAGGGCAGCACTTCACGTGATCATTTTCCATACACTTTACATAAAAGCTTAACCCTAGGCAAATGGCTAAATACACAGATGAAATACATATTTGATTTTTCTCTTCTCTAGTTAAGTAATGTTGACAGGTCTTGACCCTCCTCCAACCTAGGGAGGGTCTGGAGACTAGTAATATAGGTTGTGCAACCTTCAGCCAAGCTCTGAGCCATACTGGACTTGGTGCATGGAAATTATGGACAAATATGTTTACCTGGTAATGGATGGAATCCTGCCAGAGACTACCCAGAATCCATAGCTCATATTGCCTTCTAACTGAAGCAGGCCTTCTTACCCTCACAGTGTTAGGGTGTCTGTAAACCTTAGATGTTAGTTTTTACATAACTATAGGCTAAGTAAGAAGTTCAGGGGAGGATCTAAATGGTTCAGGAAGAAACTTATCTTGGGTCTGAACAGTTTTGATTGAACACATTTTATGAACTTCCCAATTGATGTTGACAAATGGTCTCCATGGACATGAAATTCTCTCCCAATCTGGCTGAATACAGCTTTGCTATCTCATGTCTATGGGGTTTTTAAGCTTTTATTTGCAAAAAGGAGCAGTCCACTTCATCCCCACCACCTCTCTTGCCATCCCTCTTCTAGGTCTTATTTTCAGGGTAGGTCTTATATTTTAGCAATTCCCAAAAATAGTACTAGGTCTTATTTTCAGGGTATGTCTTATTTTCGGGGAAACAGGGTAGTTAAAGGAGAACTATGGGGTTAGGGCTTTTCCCCATAGTTCTCATGAGGGTAACGGGAGGACACAAACCAACGTCCTCCCGTCACCCAAAGCTCAGTATACTGAGATGCCGGAATGGATCCCGACAATTATGTCTGGATCAACCCAGCTGCGTGAGTGACAGCTGGCTCTGCCTATCTAGAGGCAGAGCCAGCTGTACCCGCCCCCTCCCCCATCCGTTCCGCCACTCAGCGCTGGGGGATCGGAGCGGAGAGAGTGGAATCCAGTCCCTCCCCTGTCATGGCTCTCTGCCGTGACAGGATAGAGAAGTGAGCGAACGCCGGTATGTGTTCGCTCACTTCCCGATCTACTGAGCCGACCTGTGACAGTCTCATTGTCACAGGTCGGCTAGAACTATGAGGATGAGTGAAAAGCACTCACCTCATAGTTCTCCTTTTAATGTAAAAAAAAAAAAGCCATTTTCACATTGTCTAGACAAAGAGTTTTAAAGTAATAGGGTTCAGCTAAGTGTCTGCTGTTAATGGGTTACAAGTGGAAAGTCTAGATGTCCATCTGTCCCAGATTTTGTTGTGTATATAGTGGGCCATCCCTTGTGTTTGTACACTAAGGGGGTTATTCACAAAGCTAGCCAAAGGATCAGCCGTAGCCGGCTCCACCCAGTTATTTATTGTCTGGGACCTGCTCGAGGACTTTAGCAGGTCCTGGCCAATAGGAAACAGTTGGGCGGAGCTGGCTGTCACTGCTAGCTCCACCCAATTGTTTGTGGGTTTTTAAAATACTTTTTTTTTAAAAGTATTCCCCCTCCCCTGTCCAATCCTCCAGCACTGAGTGGCGGAACTGACAGGGGAGGGGGGAATCCAGTCCCTCCCCTGTCACGGCTCTCTGCACGGATAGATCGAGAAGTGAGCGAGCGCCGGTATGTGTTCGCTCACTTCCCGATCTACTGAGCCGACCTGTGACAGTCTCATTGTCACAGGTCGGCTCAGATTATGAGGCTGAGTGAAAATCACTCGCCTCATAATTCTCCTTTTAAACCTGGCTTCATTTTCTGCTGTGCTAGTTATGACTTTTCTTTTCTATTAACTTTACTTATTAGCCTGTTGTGGCTGCTTCTCTTTCCAACCTCCTATTAATTTATCATACTATGAAACAAATTGAACTTCTCTATGCTATGAAACCATTTATGCAGCATCATTGGGTTGTGGTGTGATAAAAAAAAAAAAAAAAGAAACTGCATGCATCAGTTTGTATGTGTTCCCATTGAGTGCAGTGAACGGAAATCCTTGGGTTCCCCTGGGATTGCTCTAAAAGCAACTGGTAATTTTTGACTTGTGATTACAATCGTGCATGCTCTCACACGTTCTGAATTGATGCTTCTTGTCATACACATCTGAAGCTTTTCAAAAAGCAGAGTGACTCTCAAGATGACAGAATGCATCAATTCATCCGTCTTCAAAATCCATTAATGTAAATTGACCTTAGATCAGTGGTTACTCTTCTGGGAAATTGTAAGGCTCAAAAAATGTGGCAAGGGGCATGGCTGTCAGCTTTGTTACTGCTGATTCACAGACCCATTGTCAATCAGCACTTGACCGCACCTAGTCCTGCCCGCTGCCTTCCAGATTGACGACGCTGCCTCTGTTACTGAAACCCTCCCACTGTGAGCTGCAGTGTCTGGGAGAGAGTTAGGGAAGGTAAAGGAAGTTTTTTTTGTTTACTTTGAGTCCTGTGCATTACATAGTAACTGGATTTGGTACTTGTTTGGACTGCCATTCAGGAGCCTTTAGGGTTACTTTAAAGATAAATGGGACCAGATGGCAATTTGTCCTCCTTCTCTGGTTTAGTCAATTTGCATATAAGCGGCCATCTCGGAAACAGGGACACAATCCCTATCATTATTCTGAGCTATAGATGGCTTTACTTAAGAGATTATGGAAATATTTTATTTGCATTAAAATTACTCTAAAAGGCCGGACATATAGGCTGGGATTCAGTTTTGCTTCAATGGCTGTAGTGACACATTTTCAAGAAAAGGTTTGTGAAATTTTAGACCTTCTACATAAAGGCTTCAACTTGTAGAAGAGCAGAGTGTATGGCAAGCATCAATCAGCAATGCTAAAGCCTTCAGTCAACCTAGTTTGGAAGAGTTTAAACAGTGCTTACTGTTACTTAAAGGAGAACTATGAGGTGAGTGAAAATCGCTCATCCTCATAGTTTGAGCCGACGTGTGACAATTAAACTGTCACACGTCGGCTCAATAGATCGGGAAGTGAGCGAACACATACCGTCGCTCGCTCACTTCTCTATCATCTCCCTGCAGAGAAAGCTGACTGTCACTCATGGCTCCCTGTAGGGATTCCCCCCTCCCCGCTCCGATACTCAAGCGCTGACTGGAGGAATGGACGGGGGAGGGGGTGGGTACAGCTGGCTCTACCTCTAGATAGGCAGAGCCCGCTGTCACTCACGCAGCTGGGTGGATTTTTACAGTAATGTCGGGATCCGTCCCGGCTGCGGCGGTCTCAGTATACCACAAGCTGTAGTTCACGATATACTGAGCTTTGGGTCACGGTAGGATTCTAGTATATGTTCTCCCGTGACCCTTAAGATAACTATGGGGAAAAACGCTTACCCCATAGTTCTCTTTTTTAATGCCCAATTCTGGCCAAAACAAGAAATCCCTCCCTCCCACCCCCCTCTGTTTTTTTGCTATCATGGAATCCAACTGTCCTTTTTACTTGCCTAAAGGGTTCTTTGTGTGTCTAAGTCACTGCCTGTGTGACTTGGGCAGTTCCTATTGGCAGTCCAGTAGCATGGTACTCTAAAGATTCAAAGAGGAGTGACAGGGTCCCAAGGGTACTGTCGGGGATTGGGTAGAGAGGGCCGATCTGCCGCGCTCTTCGCTCCTCCAAGGCCACCTGCTATCTGGCTCCCTTGTCAGTTTCCCCCCATGCTCCCCTCCAGGACTTCTCCAGTATCTCTCCCATCCTCTGGAACTCCCTACCAAAACCTGATCAGCTATTCCGACTCTGTCTGCTTTTAGGCAATCCCTCATTTTTTTAGGGAAGTGAATCCCACCTCAACCTAACAAGTGCACTAAAACCTACTTAACCCATCCCCACAAAGCTATCACCTTTTGTATCACTTGTCCCTCTATTTTAGATTTGTTACGTGTATGACCCTTCTAACTAGGGATGCACCGATATTGGTTTTTCGGTATCGAGTACAGATATTTTGCTTTCAGTACTCGCCAGTACCGATATCGGTGCTTCCGTTGGCATGTAGCCGGCTTCCTGGGCAATCAGGAAGCCGGGCTGCAGGTAATGACATGCTGGCCAGCTTTCTGTTTGCCAAAGTAGCCGGCACCATGTTGTTTGGCCGGGAAACCAGCTTCCCAGCCAATCGGTGAAGCCGGGAGGTGACTAATGACCCGCCTCCTTCCTGTTTCCCAGGGAAGCCGGCTCGATGCTGATTAGCTGGAAAGCCGGCTTCCCAGCCAAGCAGCAAGGAGTCGGCTGTTCGGCTGGCTCGATGCTAATTGGACGGGAAGCTGGCTTTCCAGCCAATCAGCATAGAGCCGGCTTCCTGACCAATCAGGGAGGCGGGTCAATACTCACCGCTCGGCTTCCTGATTGCCCGGTGAAGCTGGCTCCGTGTTCCCCAACGGCTCTGCCGGTCAGTGGAGATCCTCTTCTGACCGGAAGTTCCGGCATCAGGGAAGGTATCGGAGCATTTGGGCAAATACGAGTACTCTGCCAAATACTCGGTATCGGCACTGATACTAGTTTCGGTACCGGTGCATCCTTCTAACCCTCTTATCTTGAATTATATTGCAACTGTACTGTCCTCCTTTATATTGTAAGCTGATTTAACAGACAGACATTTCACATTGTGATATCTCTATTCAACAAATGGCTTAAGCAGTCGAGGTTATCGCTGGGTGAAGTATGTCAAAAAACATTTTAAAAAAGAGGGTAATTGGATTTGGGTGTTCCAGTCGATGAGATGAGGAGTGTATATGGAAGTGCTCTGCAGTGTATAATAAGGCACACAACGTTTGGATACTAATATTATGCTCTTTTATAGTAAGATCCTTTCATGCGCATCACGGCCTGATCAAAAGAAAGTTCAGAGGACCTTAGCAGAAGAGTTTTAGAGATGCCAGAAAGCTAGATTTTTCTTCCGATAGTCTGAAAACCGCTCTGCAAGGGATTGTGGGAGGGTAATACAAGGTCAGATCTCAGGTAGTCCTATTAGGAGTATTTTAAAATGCATCTAACTTTTTTTAAACTGAACCTATCATCATCAAATAGATTTTTATGTTAAAGGAGAACTCCGGTTAAGAATGTTATTAACCCTTGCAGTAGGGCTACCCCTGCACTACATGGGTTAAGTGATTCTTTTTATCTTGGTGCTAAAAAAGTTATACTCACCAGACCATCCGAGCCGGCTCCCTGCTTCTGTGATCACTGAAATGTGTGTACACCTCTGCTGCACAGATAGACTGCTCCTCAGTGTCCTCACGTCTCTACACACAGTCTATGCACAGTGTAAAGAACGTGATGACACCAGGACACTTAGGCCACTGCAGAAGAGGGGGAGAGACGCTCAAGACACCGGTCTAAGAACAGGTCGGCTCAGATGGTCTGGTGAGTATATGTTTTTTGGGGGGGTTTTTAACACCGAGATGCAAACAAGCAATTAACCCTTGCAGTGTGGGGTTAGCCCCACTGCAAGGGTTAATCATTTTTTAGAGCATATGTGTGTTAATAATTATGTAAGTGTGTTTTTAATACTTCCCTGAAAGACAACAGTAGATACTACTGACAAAACCTTTTATCTTCCTTTCTCTACAGAAGGACAGGGTCAGGATCTACTTCCTAGACTGAGCTGCTGGCTTAGAGATGCCACAGTTACGTTGATTCTAATGCCTGTGCAGTTGGCTGTATTAACAAATGTCTGACAGAGACCAGCCCCTGCTTGCAGCTTACTTGTCCATCTTGTGACTTGATATAGTGTTACAAAGTTAGGCAAAATCACTAGACTGGAGATCAGGGACTGCTTTTTTATGATAAAATGTGGAGATATTGTGAAAACTTCTACCGTTGCTGTATATTAGCCTGTGACAGGTCAGGAATGTAATCATGCAGACTTGTAAAGTTACTGAAGGGTCCACCGTGATGTATATAATTGGACTAAACTCTGTTTATTTTAATTTTTTTTACCGTTGGTTCTAGTTTTAAAGGACAATTAAACCCGCCCCTCTTTTTGCATATATCTACGGCTCGCAAGCCGTAGATATATGCGGAGACCTAAAAAAAAAAAGTTAACAAAAAGTTTATTACTTATCCGTGTCTCAGCCGCGCGCTCCCGTCTGACGATCTGAAGATTCTCGGGCGGCCGCAAAGGATCATGGGGCGAGTGCATGCACAGTAGAGATCTTCCGCCGGGAGAAGAGGTGAGACACAGGGTAAGTTAATGCAGGCAGCCGGTAGCATGAACGCGCACACGCCATAGAAGAGGAAGAGACGGGAGTCGGTGCTGGATCACAGACCGGCATCAGCACTGGAGGGACTCCTGAAAACTACTGGAAAGAAGAAGAAGATGATAGGAACAAGAGGCATCATTTAGGGCAAGTCCTTAAAGCAGCATGGGGGG